GACAAGGCGTAAACAGAGTGTGGGAGTGAAAGAGCATAGGCAAGGAAATTTGAGGGGAAAAATAGGGAGGAAAGACCCTTGTGGAACACAGATAAGGTTTTTTATCTGTTGATAAGGATGTGTATAATACCCTCAACTGGGTTGGACTGAGGTGTATATCATGCTGGGTAAAGTTTCTTCACAATCTAAATGATGTATAGCAATTTAATGTATGAATAATAATTTTTAAAAATTAAAAAAGAAAGAAGGATTTTGTCACTTGAACACTATGGATATTTAAGGGTTGATAATTCTTTGTTGCAGCAGCATTACTTTGTACATTTCAAGATTTTTAGCAATACTCCTTTATTCTACTCAGTACATGATAGTTGCTTCCACTTCCATACTCTGTGGTAGCAACAAAAAATATCTCCAGACATGGCCAAATATCTCCTTGGACGAGAAAAATAAGCCTACATTAAGATCCATAAACTGGGTCCAGTTGTGGTATTACATACTACTTTGAGACGTTGTACTTCACAGGGTGAGATCATGGGGAAGACACGGGTTTGATTCCCATTCCAACCTGAAGGCCCAGTGTAGTAGCCTGCACTTGAAATCCTAATGACCTGGGAGGCTGAGATGAAGGATCGAGGCAGTGAGGGTAGCCTGAGCAACACAGTGAGACTCTAAGAAACAGCCAAGAGTGGTGATGCTTGGCTTGTGGTCCCTTCTAGGAGGCTGAGGAAGGAGGATTGACATAGGGAAACTTGGTCTTAAAATTAAAACAAAAGCAAAGCCAAAAAAAAAAGCATGAATTTAGCAAATAAGAAAAAAGCAGAAAATAATGTTTGAAAAGCCAAAGTCCTTGAAGTTAAGGAATGGAAAGACTCAGATCATCCAGATAAATTACAAGATAAAATTAACAAGATAAATTCCTAAATAATTACTAAATGTTGAAGTAAATCATCTTATGAAAACATAAATGACTGATAAAATGTGAGATGTTACAAGGCTTTCTAACTTAAAAAAATTCTCTCAACTTGGTATAAGAGAAAGACAAGATATAAATCATTATTTGCTATAGGGCATGTGTGCTTGCCAGAGAGACAGAGAGAAAGAAAGTGAGAAATAACCCCTCAGGGGGGATGACTACACCACAATCCTGTCTCCTCCATTTTACTCTCAGGGTTTCCGGCACACATGCACATGAACCTGGCATGAGTTAAGCTGCTGGGTGTGAGACTTGAACCATGGTCGACTACGTGGAAGTCCAGTGATGTAATCATTATGCCATCTGCTGATTCCTTAAATACAATTTTTTTTGTAGTTGCTGTACAACTTAGAATAATGTTAATCAGATTTACTCTGCATGTAGATAAAATAATCTTTAAACTTTTTTTTTCTTTTAGAGAGAGATTTTTGCTATAGGGCACATGTGCTTGCTAGAGAGATGGAGAGACAGAAAGCTAGAAATCACCACTGCCCCAGGGGATGGCCACACTACAATCCCTTCTCCATTCTCCTCTCAGGATTTTGGGCAAGCACACACACATCTAACATGAATTTTAAGCCATCAGGTCTGGGACTTGAACTGCACTCAACTACATGGGAGTCCAGCGATGTAACCAGTACACTATCCACTGTGCCTAAAACTTTTTTTTTTTTTAGTAACAAGTATATTTTATTCACTTGAGTGCCTAGCTTGTACTAGGATCCTTTATTATGGAGTAGATATGCAAACACAATATTTTCCTCTTTAAAAATCAAAAATAGTGGGAACCAGCAGTTAGCGTAATGGCTATGTCACTGGACTCCCACGTAGTCAACCGCGGTTCGCGTCCCGGACCCGGTGGCTTAAAACTCACGCCAGGTGCGTGTGCGTGTGTGCCCAAGATCCCAGGAGGAGAATGGAGGAGAAGGGATTGTGGCATGACCATCCCCCTGGGGGGTGATTTCTCACTTTCTGTCTCTATGTCTCTCTCTGTCTGTCTGGTGAGCACATGCACCCTATAGCAAAAACCTCTCCAAAAAATAAAAAAATAAAAAAATAAAAATAAAAATAGCAAATAAATAGATAAATAAATGAGTGCAAATAATATCAATATTATGGAGAAAAGTCAACAGACTCTTCTGATGATACAAATTGACAACATTCAAGTTAGTGAAAGCATATCATAGGTCCCAACTACATGGAGAGTTGAATAAACAAATTCTTATATTTTATAAGTACACATGGGAAAAATTTGGTTCTAGGTAGGGAGCTTTTATGTCTTTGCCACTGGGAGAATCATGCCAAGAGTCTGCAGGTGTCTAAGGGCCAAAAACATTAGAGGCCAGAAAATAAATATAATACTTCGAATATACTAGGTTAAATAAATTATTTTAAAAATTAATTTACTTACGTTTTTACTTTATTAATGTGTTTACTAGAAAATTAAAATTTGCATAAATCTTACATTTACAGCTTGCAACTTTTCTTTTTTTGAGAGGTTTTTGCTATAGGGTGCGTGCACTCACCAGAAAAAGAGAGACAGAGAGACAGAAAGTGAGAAATCACCCCCCAGGGGGGATGGCCATGCCTCAATCCCTTCTCCTCCATTCTCCTCTTGGGATCTTGGGCATGCACTCACACGAGCCCAGCGTGAGTTTTAAGCCACCGGGTCTGGGACTCGAACCGTGGTCAACTATATGCGAGTCCAGTGACATAGCCATTATGCTAACTGCTGGTCCCTGCTTGCATCATTTTTGATTAAACAGCACTGATACAGACAATAGAGTTTAAATCACAATCTGTGATTTCTATTTAAGAAATTTATTCTTTACATTAAAAATAAAAAATCTAACAGGAATTATATTATGTTTGTGGTAAGGAGATGAGAGAACAGCTGCATCTTTTTTGCATAAACCCATATAAACCTGACATGCATATTTTCCACATTTGTTTTTAAGTCTAAACTGCTAACATTAATCTCCAAATGTTTTCATTTCTTGAATTTCCCTTTTCTCTCATGTTTCTCCCTATATCCATATCAACTCTACTCTAGGTATAAACAGTACAGATAGGGAGAGAATAAGGAGAAAATATGGATGGCAGGTGGGCTGGGTAGAGGTGAAATGGTAGCCCATTTTCTCTGAGGCTGACCCATATGGGAAGGTTCTGAATTTGTGTCTGGATATCTCCCTGAACACACCAGGTCCACTAAGCCCATGATCTATGACTGACTGGGGCTGAGTGTGGAAAATAGTGCGAAAACATAGTTGGAGTACTTATCTCTCTCTCTCTCTTTCTCTTTCATTCACAGCAAAAAATAAACTATAAAAGAAAAGAAAAAAAAGAAAAGGAAAAATAGAAAAGAGAAAAAAGAAAAGAAAAAGAAAAGAAAAAAGAAAAGAAAGGATGGATTCAGTAACTCTGACTTTGCAAACCTACCCTAATATATGCAATTAGGTTATATTTCTGCCTTCCACTTCCATGACATTTTTCTCTACCTTTTTGGGTATATTTAGAGAGCATTGGTATCCGAGGCCACTTGTCTGAACTAGTCTCTATTACATAACCAGAGAGTTTCAAATTTGGACATCTGCCTATATTCATCATCATTCTCACTGCTTTTTTTGACAATATCAAGTCTGGAAACAATAAAGTTTCTCTTCTTTTTAGGTCAAAGGTGTCTAACATCAGAGTATCGATCTTCTCCCAGAGT